GAGGGGGCGGCGAAGTGCGTTAAGTGTGTGTGTGTGTATGTACGTGTGTGAGAGGAAACAGCGGGGGTGGTGAGGAGGAAGACGCGAAGGGGAATCCCCAGATGATCGACCTCTGTTTACTGATGTAACGTCTCTATTATCATTATTATAATTATTGTGTAATGCCCCCCCTTCCCCCTAGGTTTAAGTATGAAGTAATATTTGTTTTTTTTTTCTTTCTTTCTTTTTCTTATATGTTTTGTTTTCATGTATTTTATATTATTACACAATTTATATTGAGTTCTTGTTCTTTTGCCGCGCGCCATCTGCATTAACAACCGACGATGCATCGCGCGGTATGTCTCTTATTTCACTCGCTCTTTCTCTGTCTCTTTTTATATATGTGTGTATGTGTGTGTGTCTATCTTCAACCTCTCTTTTCCACCAAAAGAAAACATACAGAACATCTCTATCCGACTCATTGGTTTTTATCGCAATTTTATATACAGAAGAAATATATATAGTATGATTACTATTATTATTATTGATACTTTTATTATTATTATTATTATTAAAAGAAGACGTGGTACTTTACTAATTCGTAAGATAATGTATAGATTTTAGTTGTTCGAAACTTCGTTTATATATATATATATATGATGATGATAATAAAAAGAGAAAATAAATAAATTTTGAAAATATAAATTTTTGACAAGTGCCATTACATGCATACATCCGTGATTCTAAACCTTTTTCGTTACCCACATTAACATATTTGGCTTCATCGTTTGGCCGTTGGTAGTTTATTTAATTTCATTAACTTTTGTACTACTATCAGGATGTAGTTGTGCCCTTTAACTTCCTCTATATTACATTCCTTTATATTACATTAAACCTAACTTATAATTTAAATTCAGATAGTCGCATAAACCAACAAAAATTTATGACGGCCCATAAACCGGAAATGGGGTAGAATAAGGACCTAAAAGTGATTTAAATCAATATTAATTGATGTAAATCTCTTTAATTAAAAAAAAATCAATATTTTATATTCAACAAAAGTAACACTTACTTTATATTTAGAACAAAGAGCAGTTGTTACAGCAGACCTTGTATTATTCTACTACATATATTATTCCGTTTACTTAATTCTCTGATTACCGTTTCGAATATGCTGCGAAAGTACAAACATGTTGGAGATAAAAAAAAAAGAAGATAAGTGATAAAATATATTTAGCTGAATTAATGACTAAACGTCAAAAGCCCCCATCTGTTAGGTGCATCTACAAATAGGGAGTGCGAGTTTATTGTTTTTTTTGCAAATAAGGTAATTTTATTTTAAAAAAATTTAAATCGAAGGAAACGGCGAAAGATAATGCGTTGATTCATATTTTATTACCGCATTTGCAATTGTAATTCGCGTCGTTCATTTTCATTCATGTTCGAAAACCGCCACAATTTTCAATTTGTTCTTAATCGAAATATGTTGCACGAAAAGAATAAATGAAATTGTATTTTCCACATTTGACATTTCGCTTACGTAAACCTTAGAAAAATGAACAACCCCAGGCATTGAATGAAGATATTTCATATCAATATTTGTTTTTTTTTTCATTCAAAATTTCTAATGTTAACTTTCCGTTATTCACTATTATTTTCTTACAAAATTTTAAATGATTATTTATTAATATTTATTAGATGTAAAAGTTTTCATTTTTTTAAACGTATCCTCACCTAAGAAACCGCAACATTTTTTCGAATTTGCCTTGCTCTAAAGTCCTAGCACTATTATAATATGAGTGTGTAGTATGATGATCTCACTGCACTAATTTTCGGGAATCATCATTTTTCATATCTCACGAAGCGAAAACGCACCGACTTTTGTTTCGATTTTGACATTGGCACGATTTGATAACGTGCGACTTTGATTCCTTTTTGAATTCGAATAATATCCAAATGTCCAAAACTTGTGTTATTCTCTTCATTTTTTTTTTCTTTAAATTCTAATACGATGGCCAAGAGATATCTAATCTTGTTTCTTGAGTGAATGCTCGCTCGTTCACTGAATTCGATATTCATAATTGAGATTCCGTGAATTCCTATGCGCGTCTCACCGTAAACATTGATTTTGCGGATATCGAAATACTCCATCCTTTACATTTTGCTAATCGATCTGCGTTCAAATTTGTATCAAAAACCGACTGTAAACTTTTACATCGAATCAACGTATCGCATTTCATATATATTATAGGATTTAATTTTAGTTTCTGTCATCATTACTTTATTATCATTACATTACTTTCGTTTTCAATTGTTTTGTTCTATCTTTGTTAACTAGACTTAATCGACTGCTTTTTACATGCACAATAATCGCTCTTTCTAGCATACGTTTATTCTAAACCGTTTTTTTTTGTGTAATTTCATCGCTCATCCGTGTTTACTTTACGAGTCTGCCATTGGTTATCGTTGTTGCTTTTATGCCATGCCTCCAAACGCTTATTCGTATTCACAGTTCATTTTTTGTGCATTCCAAATTGAATGCGATAGGCCGGCTTTTTATTTGTTGTCGTCCGTCTTTTATGACTGTTTACTCGATTTCCGATTGGCCTTCTCATTTCACCAATAACGAAATTTCATATTTAAAAATGGACACTATAGAATTGAACTTCTCAATTTATTTCAACGTTATTTTCACTGATTTAATTATTAATAATTCACAGCAAATATTTAGTTTCCTCATTTAACGTAATCTGATTTAATAATTAAAAAAAAAACTATTATTTTTCATTTAGAAAAGTCTTATGTGCTGATTATTTCCGCAATTTTAGAATCATTTTTTTGTGTGTGTTATTAAGTCTAGCTTTCACTCGATTTGTCACGTACTATTTTGTATTTGTATCATTACTGTTGAGGAAGTATTAGATGATTAATTCACATAGTTTTTATTGTTTTGGTTTAATCTTTTAGTATAAACGCGATGTATTCTTTCAATAAGTAAATAATATTTTTGTTTTGTAATTATAAAGTGAATCCGCACTATGCGAGACATTGCTGTATATGAGAAATAAGCTGAGGATTTTTAGCGAAATGTTAAAGGTTAATTGTGGTAAATTACTTATTGCATCATCTAAGTAACCACGATAATGATGTGCATGGTTGCACACCGGGTTATGCAATTGAGCGGCAGTTTAGGGTTGATCATCGTCGTAGGCGATGATTGATCGGAGAGCGGTTTCCCGCGGAAGAGCGGAGTCGACGTTTATTGTGTGTTGTTTTTGCGCATCATCGTTCCGTGCGATGGGGTCTCTCTACTCGTGTGGTGCTGCTGCTGCTGCCTCTGCTTCTGCTGCTGCTCCTGGTTGGCTCAGGCGCGCACGCTGCCTCCCTTTGTCTCTTTCTAATCTCTCGTCACCGGCGGCTCCTCATTCCGTTCGAACACCCTGTGTATTCTGTACGTGCCGTGCCGTACTCGGATGCGTCCTGCAATCATCACATACCTAACCCACCTACGTCTTACGTCGTCATCGCAACTACCATGACAACCGACAATCAACATCGTCGTCGTCGAGGTCATCCACTGCTGCTGACATGTGTCATCATCATCATCGGATGACTTGATGGTGGTAAACAAGTCGAGAGACCCCGCGCCGCGGATCGATCACACGCGCTCCTCGAGCAACACGCTCAACCGAATCCAAGAGTTCCGATACCAGAAGAACTACAGCAATATACTTTTACCTTTAATTCTCTTTCTCTCTTTCAAACACACACGCACATTCAATCCACGCCGCGTATTTGTATGTGCGTGAGCGTGCGTGAATATTTGTGTAGTGTGTATATAGTGTTTAAATTGGAGTGTGTTTAGTGGTGCGTCTAAATTAAGAACGGCAGAAGAGCACGAGAATAATAAAGGCTCTCTCTATCTACTTGCCTCTTACTTTTCTTCCCTTTTCGGATTTCTTTGCGATGACACACACTACCACGGCTCACCGCTATCTCGAATCCAGGTAAAGAAACGAATAACCACTTCATAACAACAACAACAACATCATTATCATCATCATCATCATCCTTTACCATAGACGAATACCCATTTTATTTTTGTTGTAAATCTGAAATCCAATACGAAGTGCAGCAACTATTGGTGTCAATTGTTATTGCTATCACCTGTAGCGCCCTTTTCGAAATAAACTGCAGCCGTCGATAGGTTTTGCGATACGCAATTGAAACATTAAGAAAGTATTTTTTTATTGTATAACATTCCTTTATTTCATTACAATAAATCACAAATAGTAGAATTGAGTTAAACTTGATGAGTGTTTCAATTTATCGAATACCAGACGTAAACACATGAAGTTTTCATCAAGTGGAATTGACAAGTTCATTGAAAAGCTTTACAAGTGTCAATATGAGAATATTGGGAATCGCTTATGCTTTGTATCGGTTTTCCATTGATAATAGCAATTGACAAGTTACTTGACAAGTATTGCGTTTAGTCAAATGTAAATAAGCGTTGAATAGAACGTGAATTATCGCGCATGCTTTTGCTGTTTGTTTTTTTTGGTGTTTGTTGCTTCTTCTCTCGTTTGTTTCAGTCAGCCGCGCGTTTTCCTGAAACAAAGGAGGATGTTCCGTAATATGGGTTAATTCATCCGTGCCGGAGTGGAGAGATTCGCAAACAGAAAGTGTGAGAGATAGAGAGAGAGAAAATTAAAATAAAACGACAACAACAAAAAAAAAACCATCATCAACAGCATACAGAAACTTTAATCACACGTATATACTGTGTATGTTCATGAACTGCGATGGAAGCTTTGAGGTTGCACACAGACGGGTGAGTTAACTTTTCTTTTATTTTCGTATTATTGTTGTTGTTTTCCTCACCCTGACATAATTATTATCTTAAACATGAAGATGTCAATGTTACATGCAGTGTTTACGTTTTGATCGTTTACGAATGGGATGGAAAGAAGAGCGGAATCGTGGTGGCGTGTACGGTAACAAAAGAGTGTGACAAGCGGAAAACAAAAGTGAACGGAAGCGGCGATAGACGGATGCCATTCAAAGATTTAGTTAAAGTGCTCAGACAAGTGTATTTGGATTATTTTGTTTAATTTATGAGTTGAGGTATGAACAGTAAAAATAAACATATATTTTCGTTTTAAGCCGAAAGTTAAGCAATATACGCATTTGGCTGGGTGACCAGCTCTTGACCACTTGATCGACAAATCTTGTCATGTAATCAAACATGATTATTGAATATGAATCACCAATTATTTGATAAAACGCGAAGTTAAGCAACATGTGTACCTGAACGGGTGACGAGAATCGACATGACCATTTGAAAGACAGATCTTTTAACAAATAGAAATGTTATTACTTCCAACAGACAAAAATCAATCAAATACGATTTTCGAGTATTAATTACCCGTGATTAATTGCAATTAAAAATAACACTAATTAGTTTTTACTGTAAGTTAGCAGTATTCTAAATCTATTAGTTTTTTTTTTAATTAAAAGAGAAAAGTTTTGACGTATCAAGAAAATCAACAAAATGTTAAGCCTAAAGTTATAATTAAAAAAAAAAACAACTGTTTCTAAAGTTTAATTAAACTTTTTGAAGATACTATTTTAGAGTCTTGGGTATATTCGTTTTTTTTTTTTCATATGATTTCTTCATCTATTTATATTCGACCATATATTTTCCCGTTTTTTCTTTCCTTGCTACCGTGTCGATCCGTATAAATAGCGACAATGGTCGTGCGGCTCTCATTCCTCTGTCTCTCCATCTCAGTCTGAATCAGACTCCCACTTTCTGGTCGCCATTGAATGATGTTGTTGTAGATGATGATGATGAAGATTCCGCGTTTCTGCTTTATTTTAAAACTATCCGATTTCAGTTTTAGGTCACAAGAATCGGATAATGTTTCATTATATAAAAAAAAAATATGTTGATACAAAAAAAAATGTTTCTATTAATAATTTCAGACTTTTCTTTGCTTGACCGTGACATGGCTACGATTTAAATAAACGCAATTCTCTGATAATCAATTGGTTGAAAGATGATTTTTTTTATTTTTCTAAATTTGGTATTTTTCTATGATCTGGTAATACTTTTGACGTTTATGTCATTATTTTAAATACTATATTTTCAATGGGTTGGTATCATTGAAATGTATATTGTTTGTTTTGTCTTTTTTGGTGAATTGTGGTATTGATATTTCTATTATTAATTCAAATACAATTCTAAAATTTATTACACAAGAGGCATGGGAATAGCATGCGTTTGAAAGGTAGTGGACTGTGACATGCTAAGGGTATATATATATATTAAAAAAACGAAATTATTTGTACATCATATTGTTATAGTGTTTGCTAATTTATTATACTTCGTATGTGAATTAAATATGAGTTTTCTATGGGTTGGTAACACGATAGAAAGAGAGTCCTCTAACGTGCATTTACTGGAATTGGTGGTTAACGGAGGAATTTGCGCTTGATTTACAAGCTATAATTTCTATTGATTCTGATGACGGATAAACGACGTTGATAATAGTAAGGGAAAATTGCTGGGAACAGTTCGCTGTTATTACGCTCTCCGCGTAGTTTTCTTCTTCTTTTTTCTTGTAACTAACTCACTTATAATATATTTCTGAAGTGGAAATCGACGAAACACGAACGTAGATTTCCACATTGACGAAGGGCGGATCGCTTTATAAATATTAAAAGGGAAGCGATATACTTCGATCGCCGTCTGCAAATTCAGTCTGACAAACTAAACGAAATAACAAAAGGAAGACACTTTTCTAATTTCCAAAGAAGAAGCTTTGATGTCATTCTCTTGTGAAAAAAAAAACCCTTGAAGGAGAGCATAAAGAAATTAGAACGGGGGCGGTTTTGCGAGCGTTCTAACCTTCCGACCTTTTACCGCCGCGTGGGAGGTCTCCAAACAATTAACCTTTCGCATCCGAAGCACGTGCATGTACTTCCACTAATTTTCGAATAACGGCGGGAAATAAGAAACAAAACAAAAAAAAGGGAAGATGCAATGGAAAATGGAGTGACGTTCTGACGTGCTGAAATTTCCACTCTACACACCCTTCCCGCCCTTCGAAAACCCGGAAGTCGACCGCCAGTTGCGGAAATCGATATGACTATGACGTCTGATGCTCTCCACTTGTTTTACCCGTATTCAACTACGACTTTGCAAATCGACCCACCTCAAACGAAACAAAAACGCATCGAATAAACACAATTTTGATAAATCAATTGACAGTTACGTCAATTGTATTAGTAATCGCGTAAATTTATTGATTCTTTGACAGATTGATAACCCTTCAATTTCTGACAGTCGTGAATGTTACGTTAACCCAAATAATGAAGACAATAAATCAAATAAACATTTCTATATTTGACTTAGTCTATAGCAGTGGTTTCCAAACTTGATGTTACTACGCCTCCCTCAAAAGTATGTAATCATTTGGTGCCTCCCCACCCCCCTCCATTTCATAAAAGGAAACACTGCTTTTTCGAACGTTCTAATTTCAATTTTTCAACTTTGAACGCATATTATAGCAATGTGGATAAGAGCACAGGAATGTATCTATACTTGCTGGATTCCCCAAACATTCAGCTTTCATATGCATATTTGGATTCATTCTATCTATTATAGTTTTTCGATTATTTTTAGTTTTATAAATCTTTAATGAAATGTGAAAACACTGCTTTTTCGAACGTTCTAATTTCAATTTTTCAATTTGAACGCGTATTACAGCAATATGGATAAGAGCACAGGAATGTATCTATACTTGCTGGATTCCCCAAACATTCAGCTTTCATATGCATATATTGGATTCATTCTATCTATTATAGTTTGAATGTAAAACACTGCTTTTTAGGAGAAATGCAAGTGTTATTAAATTT